CGAAAAGTTAAATAAGATTATCAATTAACCCATGTTGATCCCCATTTTCCATGCGCAAACTCAGTAAACATAAATCTATATTTAACAAACGTTGACCAAATCAGCTGATCGATTATAAATGGATTATATGTTTTATTTGGATAAAAATTGACAGATTCTCGAGTCAACAGTGTTATTTGTCTTCTTTAATGAATAAAATAATATCTGTTTGGGAAAATCTAGGTCAGAATGGTTAAAACGTTAAATTTGATGCACAGCAAATCGCCATATTGTTTTTATTGCTTAACAGGTGTTTACAGGTGAGATTTGTGTACATGGCCTTTATGGCTTTAATCAAGACAATAACGACACCCAAGCCGAATTCAAACTTCCTGGACATTGATTACTATCCTCAAGTGGTGATAATTACTATGTAAACAAACCTAGTGGCTTCAACCCAGGCTTACCCCACGCTGTGACTCGACAGAGTCCTGTACATTGTTTTCACTTACATTATAGAATAAACAACAGACTAATGATTAATATTATTAAATCACTAACACAAATCAATAAAATTTTTATTTTGTCTCAAACAAATCTATTTTTCTTGATGACCTGAAAACAAAAATAAGTTCAAAATGGCGACCGATAAAACCCTGATCTCAATGAAATGACCGAAATTATTTCTGTAAAAAAACAAAAAAGACCAAAATCCCAATAAATCATTTCGGTCTTTTCAGTTTCCAAATCGGTCATGTCTGGCATATATGACCGTTTCCGGACCCTTGATATAGACAATAGTACTGAAAGTGGTGTTAAACACCAACAATCAATCAATCCATCCTCACCACCACGATATAGACAATTGTACTGAAAGTGGTGCTAAACATCAACAATCCATCCTTACCACCACGATATAGAAAATAGTACTGAAAGTGGTGTTAAACATCAACAATCAATCAATCCTTACCATTACGATATAGACAATAGTAATGAAAGTGGTGTTAAACACCAACAATCAATCAATCCTTACCACCATGATATAGACAATAGTACTGAAAGTGGTGTTAAATACCAACAATCAATCAATCCTTACCACCACGATATAGACAATAGTACTGAAAGTGGTGTTAAACATCAACAAACAATCAATTCTTACCACCACAATTAAGACAATAGAACTGAAAGTGGTGTTAAACACCAACAATCAATCAATCTCTCCTTACCACCACGATATAGACAATAGTACTGAAAGTGGTGTTAAACACCAACAATTAATCCTTACCACCTAGATATAGACAATAGTACTGAAAGTGGTGCTAAACATCAACAATCAATCAATCCTTACCACCAAGATATAGACAAAAGTACTGAAAGTGGTGCTAAACACCAACAATCAATCAATCCTTACCACCACGATATAGACAATAGTACTGAAAGTGGTGTTAAACATCAACAAACAATCAATCCTTACCACTATGATATAGACAATAGAACTGAAAGTGGTGTTAACCACCATTAATCAATCAATCCATCCTTACCACCAAGATAAAGACAATAGTACTGAAAGTGGTGTGAAACACCAACAATCAATCAATCAATCCTTACCGGCAAGATATAGACAATAGTACTGAAAGTGGTGTTAAACACCAACAATCAATCAATCAATCCTTACCGGCAAGATATAGACAATAGTACTGAAAGTGGTGTTAAACACCAACAATCAATCCATCCTTACCACAATGGTATAGACAATAGTACTGAAAGTGGTGTTAAACACCAACAATCAATTCTTACCACCACAGTATAGACAATTGTACTGAAAGTGGTGCTAAACATCAACAATCCATCCTTACCACCACGATATAGACAATAGTACTGAAAGTGGTGTTAAACACCAACAATCAATCAATCCTTACCACCACGATATAGACAATAGTACTGAAAGTGGTGTTAAACACCAACAATCAATCAATCCTTACCACCACGATATAGACAATAGTACTGAAAGTGGTGTTAAACACCAACAATCAATCAATCCTTACCACCACGATATAGACAATAGTACTGAAAGTGGTGTTAAACACCAACAATCAATCAATCCTTACCACCACGATATAGACAATAGTACTGAAAGTGGTGTTAAACATCAACAAACAATCAATTCTTACCACCACAATTAAGACAATAGAACTGAAAGTGGTGTTAAACACCAACAATCAATCAATCTCTCCTTACCACCACGATATAGACAATAGTACTGAAAGTGGTGTTAAACACCAACAATTAATCCTTACCACCTAGATATAGACAATAGTACTGAAAGTGGTGCTAAACATCAACAATCAATCAATCCTTACCACCAAGATATAGACAAAAGTACTGAAAGTGGTGCTAAACACCAACAATCAATCAATCCTTACCACCACGATATAGACAATAGTACTGAAAGTGGTGTTAAACATCAACAAGCAATCAATCCTTACCACTATGATATAGACAATAGAACTGAAAGTGGTGTTAACCACCATTAATCAATCAATCCATCCTTACCACCAAGATAAAGACAATAGTACTGAAAGTGGTGTGAAACACCAACAATCAATCAATCAATCCTTACCGGCAAGATATAGACAATAGTACTGAAAGTGGTGTTAAACACCAACAATCAATCAATCAATCCTTACCGGCAAGATATAGACAATAGTACTGAAAGTGGTGTTAAACACCAACAATCAATCCATCCTTACCACAATGGTATAGACAATAGTACTGAAAGTGGTGTTAAACACCAACAATCAATTCTTACCACCACAGTATAGACAATTGTACTGAAAGTGGTGCTAAACATCAACAATCCATCCTTACCACCACGATATAGACAATAGTACTGAAAGTGGTGTTAAACACCAACAATCAATCAATCCTTACCACCACGATATAGACAATAGTACTGAAAGTGGTGTTAAACACCAACAATCAATCAATCCTTACCACCACGATATAGACAATAGTACTGAAAGTGGTGTTAAACACCAACAATCAATCAATCCTTACCACCATGATATAGACAATAGTACTGAAAGTGGTGTTAAACACCAACAATCAATCAATCCTTACCACCACGATATAGACAATAGTACTGAAAGTGGTGTTAAACACCAACAATCAATCAATCCTTACCACCAAGATATAGACAATAGTACTGAAAGTGGTGTTAAAAATCAACAAACAATCAATTCTTACCACCACGATATAGACAATAGAACTGAAAGTGGTGTTAACCACCAACAATCAATCAATCAATCCTTACCACCACGATATAGACAATAGTACTGAAAGTGGTGTTAAACACCAACAATCAATCAATCCTCACCACCACGATATAGACAATAGTACTGAAAGTGGTGTTAAACATCAACAATCAATCAATCCTTACCACCACGATATAGACAATAGTACTGAAAGTGGTGTTAAACACCAACAATCAATCAATCTCTCCTTACCACCACGATATAGACAATAGTACTGAAAGTGGTGCTAAACATCAAACAATCCATCCTTACCACCACGATATAGACAATAGTTCTGAAAGTGGTGTTAAACACCAACAATCAATCTCTCCTTACCACAACAGAATAGACAATAGTACTGAAAGTGGTGCTAAACATCAACAATCAATCAAACCTTACCACCACGATATAGACAATAGTACTGAAAGTGGTGTTAAACACCAACAATCAACTCTTACCACCACGATATAGACAATAGTACTGAAATTGGTGTAAAACACCATCAATCAATCCTTACCACCACGATATAGACAATAGTACTGAAAGTGGTGTTAAACACCAACAATCAATCCATCCTCACCACCATGATATAGACAATAGTACTAAAAGTGGTGTTAAACACCAACAATCAATCAATCCTTACCACCACGATATAGACAATAGTACTGAAAGTGGTGTTAAATACCAACAATCAATCAATCCTTACCACCACGATATAGACAATAGTACTGAAAGTGGTGTTAAATACCAACAAACAATCAATCCTTACTACCACGGTATAGACAATAGTACTGAAAGTGGTGTTAAACATCAACAATCAATCAATCAATCCTTACCACCATGATATAGACAATAGTGCTGAAAGTGGTGTTAAACATCAACAAACAATCAATTCTTACCACCACAATATAGACAATAGAACTGAAAGTGGTGTTAAACACCAACAATCAATCAATCCTTTACACCGCGATATAGACAATAGTACTGAAAGTGGTGTTAAACACCAACAATCAATCAATCCTTACCACCACTATATAGACAATAGTACTGAAAGTGGTGTTAAACACCAACAAACAATCAATCCTCACCACCGCGATATAGACAATAGTACTGAAAGTGGTGTTAAACACCAACAATTAATCCTTACCACCACGATATAGACAATAGTACTGAAAGTTGTGTTAAACACCATTAATCAATCAATCAATCCAATTTAGTTTTTGCAAAAATGCCAAGGTTCTCAAGCGATACACTCTTGTTTGAGCCTCTTTTCTAATTTTCATTTCTGCTGTTTATCTTTAAACTACAAAACCTGGTTTTCCATTAAACACAAATATTCTTGTTGCATTGTATAAATTTTGAGGAGCAAAAATTGTATAAATTTTGAGGGGCAAAAATGCTGGGTAAGCCATATACAGGCTCCTTCGAACCTATATAGTTTAGTTATACCCCAAATACTATCTTAGCTTAAGGGACAATTTTATTTTACGGTTTAACATATCTATACTTAATTTACCACAAATTACATACTTCAAAAACAACCTGTACACTTTTACTCTGGGCCTCACAATTTTTTGGAAAATATGAAAATTTTATCGATATATAGTATATAATGTGTAACATTTTTATTGTATATTATTTTTGGGGGGTTTATATCTTAGAAATTTAATAGTTCTACAAGAAATATGAGTAAAGGTATATTCACAGTGCATATTCCTTATTTTTCAGTCTGTCATGTCAGAGGAATCTTCAGGTGTGACTGCTGGTCAAGGGATGGAAGGTAATTTTCATTAATAATTTTTGTAATAAATATTTGGTATTTTAAAAGTGTTTGGTGTATATGTCTGTCTGGCAGAGTTCATATCAGGATCTTTTGTGGCCAACTACATACCGTAAATTCGAAAGTAATTCGTGCATTTATTATTGCGATTTTTTTGTACGACCGCAAATTTATTTGCAGTAGTATTATGTTATGGTGTTGTCTGCGTCTGCGTCTGAAGACATTTTGGTTCGCAGACAATAACTTGATTATAAGTTCATGGATCTCTATGAAATTTTAGCACAACATTCCATACCACTAAAGAACAGTTGGGATTGTTTTGGGGGGCTATTGTCCTAGCTTTTTTTTTTTTAGGGGTAAAAAAAAGGAAGTTTTACTGGTTCATTAGGGCCCCGTTGAATGGCGGGTTGCTCTATAGTGATCAGTCTGTCCGTCCGTCCATCTGTCTGTCCGTAACAAATTGTGTCCGCTCTATAGAGAACCGTTATGATTTCAAAGTTTATACTTGACATGTATATTAAACAAAACCAGAGGGTGTGTCATAATGTATGTACAACTTCCTAGGTCAAAGGTCAAGGTCAAAAACTTTGGTTTTAGTTGACAACCCCATGTCCTATGGTAAAGATCATATCCTCTCTATATCTTGAGAACCATTATGATTTCAAAGTTTATACTTGACATGTATATTAACCAACACCAGAGGGTGTGTCATAATGTATGTACAACTTCCTAGGTCAAAGGTCAAGGTCAAAAACTTTGGTTTCAGTTGACAACCCCATGTCCTATGGTAAAGATACAAATTTTTTACCACACGTTATTCACAGCGGGGCCCACAGAGATGGCTCCCATCTCAATGATATCTAGTTGAAAGTAAATTGGTTTGCAGACAATAATTTTAGTGTACGTGTATGGATGTCTAAAAATTTTTAGCACATGGTTCAATACCACAATAAGAGGGTTGGGATTGATTTGGGGGGTTATTGTCTTAGTTTTGTAATTAGGGGCCAGAAAGGGGCCAAAAACAATTATGTGTCTGGTTTTAAGACAATAACTTGAGTATAAGAGATATTTCTTTGATCAAATTTTAGCACAAGGTTCCACACCACAAAAGGAAAGTTAGGATAAATGTTGGGGGTTATTGTCGTAGATGTTTAGGATTTAGGGGCCAAAAAGGGTCTTACAAAAACAATTTTTTGTCAGGTTCACAGACAATTACTTGAGTATAACTGTATGGATCTCTATAAAATGTGAGCACAAAGTTCCATACCACAAAAGAAGGTTGTGATTTATTTTGGAGGTTATTGTCGTTGCTGTTTAGGAATTAGGGGCCAAAAAGGGGCCAAAAACAAGCATTTTTCATGTTTCAGGACAATAATTGGTGTATAGATTTCTATGAAATTTTATCACAAGGTTCCATATTTCAAATTATAAGTTTAGAATGAGTTTTGTCGAGCCTGCGACTTTTGTCGCAAAAAAAGTCGCAAAAGCGAGACATAGCGATCCTACATTCCGTCGTCGTCGTCAGTGGGGGCGTCCACAAATATTCACTCTGTGGTTAAAGTTTTTGAAATTTTAATAACTTTCTTAAACTATCCTGGATTTCTAACAAACTTGGACAGAAGCTTGTTTATGATCATAAGATAGTATCCAGAAGTAAATTTTGCAAAAAAAAAAAAATCCTGTTTATCCGTATTTTACTTATAAATAGACTTAGTTTTTCTGCCAGTTAACATTACATTCACTCTGTGGTTAAAGTTTTTAAAATTTTAATAACTTTCTTAAACTATCCTGGATTTCTACCAAACTTGGACAGAAGCTTGTTTATGATCATAAGACAGTATCTAGAAAGAAATTTTGTAAAAATTTATTTCCTGTTTTTTCGTATACTACTGGACTTAGTTTTTCTTCCAGTTCACATTACATATAGTCTGCAGTTAAAGTTTTAAAAACATTTATTAGATCCATAAACCATCCTGGATTCTTACCAGACTTGGACAGAAGCTTCTTACAATCAAAAGATAGTATCTAGAGGAAAATTTAAAAAAAAAATTTCCCCATTTTTGTTGAGCCTGCGACTAACAGCAAAAGTAGGCGAGACACTGGGTTCTGCGGAACCCTTACGAATTTTTGAGTGTCATGACTCATGGCCCATACCGTTTAATAATTAGGGGTCGAAAAGGGGCAGAAGACAATTATTTTTCTGGGTTGCAGGCAATAACTTGAATATAAGTGTATGGATCTCTATTCAATTTTAGCACAAGGTTCCATACCACAATAGGAAGGTTGGGTTTTTTTTTCGGGGGTTATTATAGTAGCTTTTTATACGACCGCAAAAATTGAAAATTTTTTGGTCGTATATTGGTATGACGTTGGCATCGTCGTCGTCGTCGTCCGAAGACACATTGGTTTTCGCACTCTAACTTTAGTTTAAGTGAATGGATCTCCATGAAATTTTACCATAAGGTTCAATACCACGAAAGGAAGGTGGGGATTGATTTTGGGGGTTATGGTACCAACAGTTAAGGAATTAGGGGCCAAAAAGGGGCCAAAAATAAGCATTTTTGTAACTTCCAGACAATAACTTGTGTGTAAGTGTATGGATCTCTCTGACATTGTACCACAAGGTTCCATATCACAAAGGGAAGGCTGTAATCGATTTGGGGGGTAATTGCCTCAAAATTTTAGGAATTAGGGGCCAAAAAAGGGGCAAAAAACAAGCATTTTTCTAGTTTCATGACAATAACTTGTGTGTAAGTGTTTGGATATTTCTGAAATTGTACTACAAGGTTCCATATCACAAAGGGAAAGTTTGAATTGAGTTTGGGGGTAATTGCCCGAAACGTTTAGGAATTGGGGGCCAAAAAGGGGCCAAAAATAAGCATTTTTCTAGTTTCCAGACAATAACTTGTGTTCAAGTGTATGGATCTCTCTGAAATTGTACTGCAAGGTACCATACCACAAAGGGAAGGCTGGGATTGAGTTTGGGGGTGATGAATCATAAGGGGGTTCAAAAAATTGGGGGGGGGATTTTTTTTTTCTTTTTTTTTCTTTTTTTCCTTTTTTTTTTCTTTTAAAATTTTCCATTTCAAGTTGGTTATTTCTGATTAATATTTAAAAGCAAATAATAATGATATGGTAGGAGATACACACCAAACAGGATGTGTAAATTATTATATAATAAGTATTGTGCAATAGCAAGAAATTTTCAATTGCACAGTATTGCACAATTGCAAGAAATCTTCAATTGCACAGTATTGCGCAATAGCAAGAAATCTTCAATTGCACAGTATTGCGCAATAGCAAGAAATATCCAATAGCACAATATTGCGCAATAGCAAGAAATTGTCAATTGTACAGTATTGCACAATAGCAAGAAATATTCAATTGCACAGTATTGTGCAAAAGAAGATACTTCGTATAAATTGCTTATTTCTTGATCAATTTCAATGGGGTTTTATTCTTGAATTCTTGGGGTTCTTTAATATGCTGAATCTAACCGTGTATTAAGTTTTTGGATTTTGGGCCCCGTTTTTAAATTGGTCCACATTGAGGTCCAAAGGGTCCAAAATTTAACTTTGTTTGATTTCATCAAAAATTGAATTATTGGGGTTCTTTGATATGCCGAATCTAACCGTGTATTTAGATTCTTAATTTTTGGTTCCGTTTTCAAATTGGTCTACATTAAGGTCAAAAGGGTCCAAAATTAAACTTAGTTTGATTTTAACAAAAATTGAATTTTTGGGGTACTTTGATATGCTGAATCTAAACATGTATTTAGATTTTTGATTATGGGCCCAGTTTTCAAGTTGGTCCAAATCGGGGTCCAAAATTAAACTTTGTTTGATTTCAACAAAAATTGAATATATGGGGTTCTTTGATATGCTGAATCTAACCATGTATTTAGATTTTTGATTTTTGGGCCCCGTTATCAACTTTGTCCACATTGAGGTCAAAAGGGTCCAAAATTAAACTTTGTTTGATTTCATCAAAAATTGAATTCTTGGGGTTCTTTGATATGCTGAATCTAACCATGTATTTAGATTTTTTATTTGTGGACCCGCTATCAAATTGGTTCATATTGAGGTCAAAAGGGTCCAAAATTAAACTTAGTTTGATTTTAACAAAAATTGAATTCTTGGGGTTCTTTGATATGCTGAATCTAAACATGTGTTTAGATTTTTATACGACCGCAAAAATTAAAAATTTTTTGGTCGTATATTGGTATGACGTTGGCGTCGTCGTCATCGTCGTCGTCGTCCGGCGTCGTCCGAAGACACATTGGTTTTCGCACTCTAACTTTAGTTTAAGTGAATGGATCTCCATGAAATTTCACCATAAGGTTCAATACCACAAAAGGAAGGTTGGGATTGATTTTGGGGGTTATGGTACCAACAGTTAAGGAATTAGGGGCCAAAAAGGGGCCAAAAATAAGCATTTTTGTAACTTTCAGACAATAACTTGTGTGTAAGTGTATGGATCTCTCTGACATTGTACCACAAGGTTCCATATCACAAAGGGAAGGCTGTAATTGATTTTGGGGGTAATTGCCTCAAAATTTTAGGAATTAGGGGCCAAAAAAGGGGCAAAAAACAAGCATTTTTCTAGTTTCATGACAATAACTTGTGTGTAAGTGTTTGGATATTTCTGAAATTGTACTACAAGGTTCCATATCACAAAGGGAAAGCTGGAATTGAGTTTTGGGGTAATTCCCCGAAACGTTTAGGAATTGGGGGCCAAAAAGGGGCCAAAAATAAGCATTTTTCTAGTTTCCAGACAATAACTTGTGTTCAAGTGTATGGATCTCTCTGAAATTGTACTGCAAGGTACCATACCACAAAGGGAAGGCTGGGATTGAGTTTTGGGGTGATGAATCATAAGGGGGTTCAAAAAATTGGGGGGGGCGGATTTTTTTTCTTTTTTTTTTTTCTTTTTTTCCTTTTTTTTTTCTTTTAAAATTTTCCATTTTAAGCACAATAGCAAGAAATCTTCAATTGCACAGTATTGCGCAATAGCAAGAAATCTTCAATTTAACAGTATTGCGCAATAGCAAGAAATATCCAATAGCACAATATTGCGCAATAGCAAGAAATTGTCAATTGTACAGTATTGCGCAATAGCAAGAAATATTCAATTGCACAGTATTGTGCAAAAGAAGATACTTTGTATAAATTGCTTATTTCTTGATCAATTTCAATAGGGTTTTATTCTTGAATTCTTGGGGTTCTTTAATATGCTGAATCTAACCGTGTATTAAGTTTTTGGATTTTGGGCCCCGTTTTTAAATTGGTCCACATTGAGGTCCAAAGGGTCCAAAATTAAACTTTGTTTGATTTCATCAAAAATTGAATTATTGGGGTTCTTTGATATGCCGAATCTAACCGTGTATTTAGATTTTTAATTTTGGGTCCCGTTTTTTAAATTTGTCTACATTAAGGTCCAAAGGGTCCAAAATTAAACTTAGTTTGATTTTAACAAAAATTGAATTCTTAGGGTTCTTTGATATGCTGAATCTAAACATGTGTTTAGATTTTTGATTATGGGCCCAGTTTTCAAGTTGGTCCAAGTTGGGGTCCAAAATTAAACTTTGTTTGATTTCAACAAAAATTGAATATATGGGGTTCTTTGATATGCTGAATCTAAACATGTATTTAGATTTTAGATTTTTGGCCCAGTTTTCAAGTTGGTCCAAATTGGGGTCCAAAATTAAACTTTGTTTGATTTCAACAAAAATTGAATATATGGGGTTCTTTGATATGCTGAATCTTACCATGTATTTAGATTTTTTATTTGTGGGCCCGCTATCAAATTGGTTCATATTGAGGTCAAAAGGGTCCAAAATTAAACTTTGTTTGATTTCATCAAAAATTGAATTATTGGGGTTCTTTGATATGCCAATTCTAACCGTATATTTAGATTTTTAATTTTGGGTCCTGTTTTTTAAATTGGTCTACATTAAGGTCCAAAGGGTCCAAAATTAAACTTAGTTTGATTTTAACAAAAATTGAATTTTTGGGGTTCTTTGATATGCTGAATCTAAACATGTGTTTAGATTTTTGATTATGGGACCAGTTTTCAAGTTGGTCCAAGTTGGGGTCCAAAATTAAACTTTGTTTGATTTCAACAAAAATTGAATATATGGGGTTCTTTGATATGCTGAATCTAAACATGTATTTAGATTTTAGATTTTTGGCCCAGTTTTCAAGATGGTCCAAATTGGGGTCCAAAATTAAACTTTGTTTGATTTCAACAAAAATTGAATATATGGGGTTCTTTGATATGCTGAATCTTACCATGTATTTAGATTTTTTATTTGTGGGCCCGCTATCAAATTGGTTCATATTGAGGTCAAAAGGGTCCAAAATTAAACTTTGTTTGATTTCATCAAAAATTTAATTATTGGGGTTCTTTGATATGCCAAATCTAACTGTGTTTTTAGATTTTTAATTTAGGGTCCTGTTTTTTAAATTTGTCTACATTAAGGTCCAAAGGGTCCAAAATTAAACTTAGTTTGATTTTAACAAAAATTGAATTCTTCGGGTACTTTGATATGCTGAATCTAAACATGTGTTTAGATTTTTGATTATGGGACCAGTTTTCAAGTTTGTCCAAGTTGGGGTCCAAAATTAAACTTTGTTTGATTTCAACAAAAATTGAATATATGGGGTTCTTTAATATGCTGAATCTAACCATGTATTTTGATTTTGGACATTGGACCATAATAGGTAAATTAAAAAAATTGAAGTTCTTAGACCACATTCTTTCTGTGTCAGAAACCTATGCTGTGTCAAATATTTAATCACAATCCAAATTCAGAGCTGTATCAAGCTTGAATGTTGTGTCCATACTTGCCCCAACTGTTCAGGGTTCGACCTCTGCGGTCGTATCAAGCTGCGCCCAGCGAAGCATTTTATTGATTATGGGCCCAGTTTTCAAGTTGGTCCAAATCGGGGTCCAAAATTAAACTTTGTTTGATTTCAACAAAAATTGAATATATGGGGTTCTTTGATATGCTGAATCTAACCATGTATTTAGATTTTTGATTTTTGGGCCCCGTTATCAACTTTGTCCACATTGAGGTCAAAAGGGTCCAAAATTAAACTTTGTTTGATTTCATCAAAAATTGAATTATTGGGGTTCTTTGATATGCCAAATCTAACCGTGTATTTAGATTTTTAATTTTGGGTCCTGTTTTTAAATTGGTCTACATTAAGGTCCAAAGGGTCCAAAATTAAACTTAGTTTGATTTTAACAAAAATTGAATTCTTGGGGTTCTTTGATATGCTGAATCTAAACATGTGTTTAGATTTTTGATTATGGGCCCAGTTTTCAAGTTGGTCCAAGTTGGGGTCCAAAATTAAACTTTGTTTGATTTCAACAAAAATTGAATATATGGGGTTCTTTGATATGCTGAATCTAAACATGTATTTAGATTTTAGATTTTTGGCCCAGTTTTCAAGTTGGTCCAAATTGGGGTCCAAAATTAAACTTTGTTTGATTTCAACAAAAATTGAATATATGGGGTTCTTTGATATGCTGAATCTTACCATGTATTTAGATTTTTTATTTGTGGGCCCGCTATCAAATTGGTTCATATTGAGGTCAAAAGGGTCCAAAATTAAACTTTGTTTGATTTCATCAAAAAATTAATTATTGGGGTTCTTTGATATGCCAAATCTAACCGTGTATTTAGATTTTTAATTTTGGGTCCCGTTTTTTAAATTGGTCTACATTAAGGTCCAAAGGGTCCAAAATTAAACTTAGTTTGATTTTAACAAAAATTGAATTCTTGGGGTACTTTGATATGCTGAATCTAAACATGTGTTTAGATTTTTGTCGAGCCTGCGACTTTTGTCGCAGAAAGCTCGACATAGGGATAGCGATCCGGCGGCGGCGGCGTTAGCTAACTTCTTAAAAGCTTTATATTTTAGAAGATGGAAGACCTGGATGCTTCATACTTTGTATATGGATGCCTCATGTTACGAAGTTTCCGTCAGTCACATGTCCAATGTCCTTGACCTCATTTTCATGGTTCAGTGACTACTTGAAAAAAAAGTTCAGATTTTTTGTACTGTTAAATTCTCTCTTATTATAAGTAATAGGATAACTATATTTGGTATGTGCGTACCTTGCAAGGTCCTCATGCCCGTCAGACAGTTTTCACTTGACCTCGACCTCATTTCATGGATCAGTGAACAAGGTTAAGTTTTCGTGGTCAAGTCCATATCTCAGATACTATAAGCAATAGGTCTAGTATATTCGGTGTATGGAAGGACTGTAAGGTGTATATGTCCAACTGGCAGGTGTCATCTGACCTTGACCTCATTTTCATGGTTCAGTGGTTATAGTTAAGTTTTTGTGTTTTGGTCTGTTTTTCTTATACTGTATGCAATAGGTCTACTATATTTGGTGTATGGAATGATTGTAAGGTGTACATGTCTAGCTGGCAGGTGTCATCTGACCTTGACCTCATTTTCATGGTTCAGTGGACAAAGTTAAGTTTTTGAGTTTTGGTCTTTCTTTCTAATACTGCATGCAATAGGTCAGCTATATTTGGTGTATGGAATGATTGTAAGGTGTACATGTCTAGCTGGCAGGTGTCATCTGACCTTGACCTCATTTTCATGGTTCAGTGGACAAAGTTAAGTTTTTGAGTTTTGGTCTTTCTTTCTAATACTGCATGCAATAGGTCAGCTATATTTGGTGTATGGAATGATTGTAAGGTGTACATGTCTAGCTGGCAGGTGTCATCTTACCTTGACCTCATTTTCATGGTTCAGTGGTCAAAGTTAAGTTTTTGAGTTTTGGTCTTTTTTTCTAATACTATATGCAATAGTTCAACTATATTTGGTGTATGGAAATATTTTATGATCTATATGTCAGTTACGCAGGTTTTATTTGACCTTGACCTCATTTTCAAGGTTCATTGCTCAGTGTTAAGTTTTTGTGTTTTCGTCTGTTTTTCTTAAACTATAAGCAATAGGTCAACTATATTTGTTGTATGGAAGAATTGTTAGCTGTACATGCCTGCCTAGCATGGTTCATCTGACCTTGACCTCATTTTCATGGTTCATTGGTCAATGTTTAGTTTACTTGGTTAATGTTAAGTTTATGTGACAGTTGTAATAAAGCTTTATATTTAGGACTATCAACATAATATCAATGATTAGTAAAGAAGGCGAGACATTTCAGCGTGTGCACTGTTGTTGATTATGGGACCAGTTTTCAAGTTTGTCCAAGTTGGGGTCCAAAATTAAACTTTGTTTGATTTCAACAAAAATTGAATGTATGGGGTTCTTTGAAATGCTGAATCTAACCATGTATTTTGATTTTGGACATTGGACCATAATAGGTAAATTAAAAAAATTGAAGTTCTTAGACCACATTCTTTCTGTGTCAGAAACCTATGCTGTGTCAAATATTTAATCACAATCCAAATTCAGAGCTGTATCAAGCTTGAATGTTGTGTCCATACTTGCCCCAACTGTTCAGGGTTCGACCTCTGCGGTCGTATCAAGCTGCGCCCAGCGAAGCATTTTATTAGGAATTAGGGACCAGAAAGAGCCTAACAAAAACAATTATTTGTCTGGTTCACAGACAATAACTTGAGTATAACTGTATATATCTGTATAAAATTTAAGCATAAGATTCCATTCCACAAAAGAAAGGATGGGATTTATTTTGGGGGTTATTGTTGTAGCTATTTAGTAAGTAAGGACCAAAAAGGGGTCAAAACAAGCATTTTTCATGTTTCAGGACAATAATTTGTGTATTAGAGTGGGTTTCTATGAAACTTTACTACAAGGTTCCATACTTCAAAAGGAATGTTGAGAGTGATTTTAGGGGTCATGGTCCAAACCGTTTCATAATAAGGGACTGAAAAGGGGCAAAAAAAACAAGGATTTTCTGTTTTCTGGACAATAATTTGAGTATAAGCCTATTTATTGCTATTTAATTGTGCCACAAGTTGTTTTACCATATAATATAGTTTGGTATTGATTTTAGGTGTTATAACCTTGTTGGTTTAGTTAAAAGATGTCCAAACCAATACTTTGTATAAATTGCTAATTGTTTAGCAATTTCAGTGGTGTTTAATTCAATAGTCTTGAATTCTTTGGGGTCTTTAATATGCTGAATCTAATTAGGTATTTAATATTTGGATTTTAGGTCTGTTTTTGAAATAATTCATATTAAGGTCCAAAGGGTCCAAAATTAAACTTTGTTTGATTTCTTTAGAAATTGAACTATCGGTGTTCCTTGATATGCTGAATCTAATTGTGTTATAAGATTTTTTGAATCTGAGGCCTGTTTTCAAATTGATCCAAAGGGTCCTAAATACAACTTTTTTTTTATTTAAAAAAAAATTGAATTCTTAGGGTTCTTTGATATGCTGTATCTAAAGGTGTATTAGGATTTTTCATTTGGGGCATGGTCGGCCCACATTAAGGTCCAAAGGGTCCAAAATTAAACTTTAAAGAAAAAAAAAGAATAGTTGGGCTTCTTTGATATGCTGAATCGAAGCTTGTATTTAGATATTTGATTTTGGGCACAGTATTCAACATGGTTCAAATTGGGGTCCAAAATTGAACATTGTTTGATTTCATCAAAAATTAAATTGTTTGTGTTATTTGATATGGTCAATATAACAGTGTTTTAGATTTTTTGATTTTGTGCTTGGTTTTCAATGTTGGTCCAAATTTGGGTCCAAAATTAGACTGTTTGATTTCTTCAAAAAATAAATCATTGGTGTTCTTTAATGTGTGCAATCTAACAGTGTTTAAATTTCTGATTTTGGGCTTGTTTTTCAAACTGGACCCCATAAAGGTCCAAAGTATCCAAAATAAAACTTAGTTTGATTTTAACAAAAAATGAAACAATGTGGTTATTTGATATGCTGAATCCAACCATGTATTTAGAATTTGAATAATGGACCATAATTGGTAAATGTCTAATTTTGAAATTATTTAAGAACTTATACCACATTCATTCTGTCATGTCTGTGTCAGAAACTATGCTTTTATTACATATTTGCTCAGAATCTAAATTCAGAGATGTTATTGGACAATTAACAGAAATTTTAATTCGGGTCATAGTTGAAAATAGATAAAACAGCATATCAATTTTAGAGAACTATTTTTGTGGTATACATCACTGGTTCATGGAAAATAAATTAGTTCACAGACAATAACTTAAGTATAAGTGTATGGATGTGTAAGAAATTTAAGCACAAGGTTCCATACCACAATAGGAGGGTTGGGATATTAAATAGTTAATTAAGCTCTACATTTATAGATTTATTGTAAAAGAAATTTTAAATTGAGTCATAGTTTCAAATAGATTTGCTTTTTTCAGATATATTAATCATGTGGTGATAATTGTGCATGCATTGACTTTTAATTATCTTCTATTTAAAGATTGTTAACATGTTTGAATATTTTCTTATGGTTGAAAATTCCCTTGGAAACTAAAATGGACCTTTGTCCATCTGTTGAAGTGGAAGCGAAGTTTTTAAATACAATTGTGCCATACATTGTGTTATGTTACATTTGAATAGAAAAAAATGTTATTTTAAGAAAAATAATAAATTTTTATTAAAGGATATATTTCATTACAATACATTGTGTAGATAAAAGTTGTTGACATTGATAGATAAGTTGCAGATATTAGTTTGTGACAAATGAAAGACAAAAATATTGTTTAAAAGTATATATATAAAGTTTGATTACACTAAGTGTTATTGTAAAAAAATAGTTTTCACCGTATTATCACCATAACAAAACATGTGGTAATTGTCAATCACACAATTATAATTGGAGTGATAGTTTTATTTGAAAATTTTGTGAGTTTTTCCTAAGTGTAGCTGATGATAAGCTCAGTAGGATGGTATACATTTAGTCTGAAATTTACTGTTCATTATTAGATATTTTGAAAATAATTTCAGATAAGTTTTATAGATATTTTAAAGACATGCTATTTTGGAGGAAAAAAAATCCTTTTCTTTGGTAAATTGGTTGAAAATTTTGTGGTAGGTTTGTTTGTTGTTCTGAAGAAACTAATTTTCTGAATGCTATATATTTTTTTTTTGGATGAAGTGAACTCTAAACGCTAAGCTTTTATTGTCTATTAATAAAAGGGGCCTCAATGGCCGAGTGGTCTAAGTAGTTACTACTGTAATCACTAGCCAGTCAACACTGAGGTTATGAGTTCGAACCCCGCTCGTGCGGGTGCACTCGACTCCAATCTTAATTGACTAGGATTGTCAGTTTTCCTATCGAAGGTCGGTGGTTTTCTCCAGGCACTCCGGCTTCCTCCACCAATAAAAACTGGCCGCCAGGAAATAGCCCAAAAGCGATGCTTAAAAGTGGCGTTAAAACACCAAAAATCAAAACAATCTATTAATAAACATGTATTTGGATTTTTGATTTTGTGCCCAGTTTTCAAGTTGGTCCAAATCAGGGTCCAACATTAAACTGTGTTTGATTTCAACATAAATTGAATATATACAGGGTTCTTTGAAATGCTGAATCTAAACCTGTATTTAAATATTGGATTTTTGGTCCCAGTTTACAAGTTGGTCCAATCAGGGTCCAAAATTAAACTTTGTTTGATTTTCAACAAAAATTGAATTTATGGGGTTCTTTGAAATGCTGAATCTAACCCTGTATTTAGATTTTGAATTCTGGGTTACTTTATCAAATTGGTCCACTTTGAGGTCCAAAGGGTCCTAATTTAAAATTTTGTTTTATTTCATTAAAAATGAATTCTTGGGGTTCTTTGATATGCTGATTCTTACCATGTTCTTAGATTTGGGAAATTGGACCATAAAAGGTAAATGTCCAATTTCAAATTTTTCAGTTCTTTGATCACATTCATTTTGTGTCACAAACCTATGTTGTGTCTGACTGTCAAATATTCAATCACAATCCAAATTCAGAGCTGTTTTAAGCTTAAATGTTGTGTCCATACTTGCCTCAACTGTTCAGGGTTCGACCTCTGAGGTCATATCAAGCTTGCGCCTAGTGGAGCATTTTATTGAAGATTGAACTGAAATGTGAGATAAATATACAGATATATGTATCAGATATCAAAATGCAGGTTAATTTTATTGCAATTCTCACTCAGTCTCATTATAAAAAAAAAAACTCGCAATGATTTCTGAATTGTCAGTATACGATTAAATATGGTGAGGGTTTTTCTCATCATTGAAGGCCTTGCAATGACCTATAATTGCTTATGTCCACTTATTTGAATTCTGATGGATAGTTGTCTCAATGGCAATCGTACCACATCTCCTTAATTATAACCCACACAACGATTTGCGGAGGGTATAATGTTTTTGACCTGTCTGTCCGTCCGTCAGTCAGTTAGTCCTGTTTATTGTCATCGCAACTCCTCTCAAACCACACAACAGAATTTCATGAAACCTTTTCAGATAATAAGGACATACTACGTAGATGTGCATATCGACAGGAAATTACGATTCAATTTTTTTCCAGGAGTTACGCCCCTTTGAACTTATTTGCCCAACATACTACTGCAATCTTTTGTCATCGCAACTCCTCTCAAACCACACAACAGAATTTCATGAAACCTTTTTCAGATAATAAGGACATACTACGTAGATGTGCATATAGACAGGAAATTAC